CTTTATAATATTATATACATCAACTCATTTAATAATATTAACTCATTCGATAATATAACTTATATTATATCATTATTTTCAAATTTTAATCTTAAATTTTTATCCTCTGTATCACTGCTTATTTAAAAAATATTTAAGTTAGAAGTCAAGTTTATTTTCGTTTTACTAGCTTGACTGTAAACTAATTATATGATTCACCTACAATTACAAGAATAGAATCTTGAAAAGAGGCTGATGTGTTGGTTAATAAATAATAATAATAATAATAATAATAATAATAAAGTTAATATCATAGTAGCTCGGATCCATTTTACTTTTCACGCTTCCTAAAAATAAATGGCTCAAAAAACCTATTAATTTTAATTTTTAGCATAATATTAAAGTTTTCTTTTTCAATTTTGTCCCTACTAATAATTGAGCTTTTTTAAAGGTATAAATTAAGAATATATTTATTTCTTATTTTTCTATTAATTTGTATGAAAAATTACAAAAATAACATTTATTTTTAACATTAATATTACTTGCATAATTTTAATTAAACAATTAATAAAATTAAATATATTTTTTTCATATAAATTTATGAAACAAATGCAATAAATACAATCTAAATCTATTTTTTGAAGGTACAAATTAAATTTTTCTTTACTACTTACCCCATTCTTACTTTCAAATCACCCTCATTAATAAGCGTAAATATGAAATATTAATTAATTACAAGTACATTTTTATGGCTATTTGTAATATCTTTTTTGTAGATTTGCTCAGCGAGAGTGTGACAATTAAAATGGATTAAAGGTGGTAGCTATTGGCAAAAATTAAGGGAGCATTTATGGCACCTTTCTAATGTTAATTAACATTGAAAAAAAAAACTAATATTAATTTTAATAATTGTCTAATTAAATTTATCCAAGTAGTAAAGATGTTGAAATTAATATTAGTTTTTATATTTTAAAAAATGATTAAAAAAATAATAGAGATGAGATGATAACAAGAGAAAAAATAATAATGAATAAATTACTAATAAAAGAAAAGGAAAAATAATGTAAACTCTTTATAATATTAGTTAAAACTTATAATGTGGCTATGTGTATAAATCTATTACATATATTATTAAATTATTTGTGGTTTTAAGATGTTTATATGTTATATAATACTGAGAATGTATTCAATATAAAATGATAAATAAAAAGAGAAAAATTAAGTGAAAAGATATATAATGGTAAAGAAAAATGCAAATGGTGACTAGGGACGAACAATAGAATGAATGATAAAGAGAGAAAGAATAATAGCAAATAAGTTTCATATAAAAAGGAAACTGAGAAGGAATGTAGTTTAGAGTAATAAATATAGTGAAAAAATATATGAGGGTAAAGTAAGAGATAACGTCACAAGAAAAAATAATAAGAGGTCAAGCAATGGTATGTAAATAAAAAAATACTAATATAATAAAAGTTTGTTTAATATGTGTTTTTACATATGTATTAAATATATTTTTTAGTCATAAATTTATATTGAAAAAATAAAATTTAAT